ACTATGATTTCATTATAGAAAAATATATTGGATTGTATACCATCTCACCATTTATCTTTTTTATAAGGAGGTCAGAATTACCTCTAGTCAAGAGAAGTAAAATTATATGTTTTAGGATATCCTGAAGTTAAGGATTTTTCTTTCTAACTTCAAGTTTAGTCAATGGCATTCTTACAGCTACCTGATTTGAAATCGGACAAAAGTGTTTGAGATGTATAGTTCAAACACTTTTGTCCAATTTCAAATTAGGTGGTTGTAAAAGTGCCATTGACTAAAATTCAAAATTCAAAAAAAAATTCTTGAATTTCGTGATACAAGTCCCAAACAATCTAATTTGGATCTCATGACTGGAGGTAATTGTAATCCCCTTGTAAAAAAGATAAATAGTTTCATAGCATATAGTCACATATATGAGAACAAACGACATATGCCAACCATTCAGCACACACGAGCCATGTATGTTATAGTTCTTCTCAATGTTACTTGGGGAGATGCTAAGATCTTTAGGGCCTTTTTTTTTTTTTATATGTAAGATAAGATCTTCACGGTCGATTGTTGACAACATGGGATTAGATGTGTATTTCGTGCACAGTTTAGGATACACGGGCTGTGTGTAGTATTTATTCTCAACAACCGAGCAGTATACATGTGAGGGCCGGGCCTGGATTGGGTCAGCCTCGCCCTGCCCTGCCCTGCCCTGATCCCATAGGGGCCAGCTTCTAACAAATGAAGAAAAAATAAATGAAAAAACAAAAAAAATAGAAGGGAGGGGGCCAGGCTGAGTTTGTGGCCCAGGTCATACTTTATTAGGGCTGAGCCAACTGGGTTGGGTTGAGCTACCAATCCCACTTCCAACATGGAAAACAGCCCCCTTGGGGACCAAAAAGGCAGCTAATATTACCACTCTAAATAAAAGGGATTGTATACTACAAGATTATTTATCTTTAGTATAGAGAGGTCACGATTATTTATAACCATCCGAGGTGAAATCTGGTAGTTTGAATGCGTCACAAAGCTATCTTTTGAATAAAATGTTGGATTCATGATATATTTAAAACAAGTGAAGCTCATGTGGGATCATAATATACCTTTACTCCCTTGGAAAACTCTTAGTGAGGATCCCTCGAATCAAATTTTTGGAATGCATCCTCCCAAAAAAACTCCAATGATTCAGGAGCATATGGTGGATTTGCTCCCTCGGGCAAAACTTAAGCATGGAAATATCTTTTTTAGGCCCCACATTTTGGAGATGTAACATCTAAAACCTAGCGACCAACTTCAAAAGAAAAATATTAATAATTATGGGACCTGGTTTTTAGGCGGCTAAACTTGCATATGTAAAAATACTGGCTTATTAATAAATATATTTTTGAGATGTGCTTTTGGACTTAATTTTTAAAGACACGTAATATCTAACATGGAGACCATGAATATTAAAAAATAAGTATATTTTTAAAACTATAAAATAATTCTAATAAGAAAACATTTGGACTTTTAGTTTCCATTATTTTTAGATAGAACACCTATTTGCATCCATCTCTAAGATGGATGTTTTACATTTTTTGGACCGTATATGTAGTCATGCCATCCAGTTTTCCATAATTATGCCTCAAAAAAAGAGAGAAGAATCCTGTGAATATAAACTGGAGAGCAAGTTTGGGATGTTCAAGACTCGAAATCTAATTTTTTCACTTCTCAATAATCATTTAGTGGTGTTTAGATAGATCTCAAAATTTCATATCCAAAACTTCTTTCCAATTATCTCGTTTGCTCATGAGACTTTTTGTACAATATACTCTCGTGGAAACATGTAAAAGTTGCTAATGGTAAATGGAAAAGTTGACATAGCATGGATTGAAGTTTAGGATGTATATGGAGGAGAGCGAAAAAGAGGAACATAAGTACAGGGCAAAGAGAGAGAAATGCAGAAAAGATAGAGAGAGATGGACATAAGTGCGGTGAAGGAGATGATGTTGGGAACATGAGAGACATGCACGTCATGTAGGGGGGTTGTGAAAATTATTGAGAGTGGGGGATCAGGAACATCCTTAGAAAAATCGTCCTTTCTAATAGGTAATGGTCTGGTTCGATCGGAACTGACTCTCAGATTTTAGTTTCGATCCATTATGGTGACCCATAGGATATTTTTAAAAAAATTTAAAAAGTTATATAAATGGGATTTTGTTTATAAGGTATTTCTAATGCTTTTCATCATTATTGTAGAAAGTGAAAATTGTTTTGTTATTAACATTTATTTTTATATTTTTTTTATTTATGAAAAAAATTTTAAAATACCTATGGATATAAGTGTTTTTTTTAACAATTTTTTTATGGGTCGATACTTATCCGGTTAGAATGGTTGAACTTGTCGATTTATTAATTAGTCCGGTTGAACTGCTTCTATGCCTATGTCCGATTAACCATTCAAGTTTGATTTTCCAGCACGGATCAAGGGATACTTGGGTAGAGAGAGAAAAAGGAAGGGGAGTCTAGAGAGAGAAGTTGGCCAAGAGAGAGATGGGTCCATATTCCAAAACAGGATGGGCCAGCCCATGATAAATTTGAGTCACACCAAGAGAGAAAAATGAACGTGTAAGGTTGAGGTAAGCTACCAAAAAAAAACTATTGAAACAATACAATAAAAAATTAACCATAAATTTAATAGAGCTGCAAAACTAGCTGGCTTATTGAGAGAAAATTGCCAGAAAACCCCGCCATATCTTTAGAAAGACGTGGCCAGGTTATGATGGAGTTGGAGCCCATGTTAACATCTCTACATGTGATACGCACATCGCTATGGAATCTAACCTTCCTCTCTCTCTCTCACTAACTCTCTAGAGAGAGAAAACCGTCTTTTCTTTCTCTAAAAAAATATTTCTCTCTTTAACTTTTAAAAAAAAAAATATTTCTTTTCTCTCTAAAGAAATATTTCTCTTTATTATTTAAAGAGAAAAACTTTTTTTTTCTTTTCAAAAAATATTTATTTTTACTATTTATAGAGAGAAATCCTCCCTGAAAAATATTTTTAATTTCTAAAATACACTTCTAACTCTTTTAGAAAGAAAAAACCTTATTTTCTCTCTCTCTAAAAAAATATTTATATCTTTATTATCTAGAGAAAGAATGCCTATTTTTTCTCTCTTTAAAAAAATATTTCTAATTTCTCGAAAAAGAAAGTTTCCGGTCTTATCTACCCCAAACAAATACGCAACGGGAAAGTTTCATATCTTACAACGCCACTTTTCCGTCATATCACACACTTGTGACATACACCTATCATTCTTTTTCAATCTCCCCTCTCTCTTTCTCTCTCTAAGTCTCACTTCCCCCTCTCTTACTCTCTCTAAATCCCACTTTCCCCACTCTCTTTCTCTCTCTAAGTCTCACTTTCTTGACAGATTACAGTTAATGCTGCTCCCCAATATATGAATTTCTTTGTTAGCGTGACGCAAATCCTAATTAAATGCTACCTCGTGCTCTCATTAAGGGCAAGATCCAAAACGGTTTTTTCTTGGGAATTCATGCATATCAAGTATGCGAGAGAGAGGGAATACATATGGACTAGAGTGAGAGAGGAGAGAGAAGACTAGAGAGGAAAGTAGAGAGAGAAGATCAGAGGAAGAAGAGATAGAGAGAGAGAGAGGGTGGTTCATGGAATTGGGTTATGATAGGCAGGTAAATTACAGGGGTTGGACTGCATGTGGGTTGATGTCAGGTAAAGAAAAGGCCTTTGTGGGATGCCTTTTGCCTTTTTTCCTGTGTCCAAATGTTGGGTAAGCTCCCTTTCCAGCAAACCCATTTCCACCCTCTTTTCTCTTTGAATCCTTTTAGATTTTTTTTTCCTCTTTCTCTCTCTTGGGTTTTCCCCATCTTCTTCTTTCTCTATCTGGTTCTCACTCCATTATCAGGGACTTGCAGTGACCATTACTGGGTCTCTCTATTGTCGGGTAAAGTGGTCTCTCTCTAGATGGGTATCTTGTAATGGTTTCATGGTGATATCTGATGGTCAGACCCTTTGAAACGGGTGGTTGTTTGTCTGGTTCTATCAAATCCTTTGGCACCCACATTCCCCATATTTGTCTCTGGTTTTTGGGTTCTCTGTCCTGTTCCTAAAAGTGTTGCAATTTTGTGGCCATGCCTAACCAACTCTTGGTCATGGAACAATCTGAATCCTTGATATTTGCTTGCAGTCTTCTTCTCTTCTTTTAAATCTCTCTCTCTGTCTCTCTCTCTTCCTCTTCTTCTAAAACAGTCATCTCTGCCTGTCAATTTTCTTACTATTATCGGTACTACCAACTTAATGAGATAGTGCCCTCTCTCTCTCTCTCTCTCGGCGAGTTAAAAACAACCCCCACAGTTCCGCTCTGTCTTCCCCCTGTGCCCCCAATTCTTCAATTTAGAGTGATATTTTTTATTGGGCATTTAAAGGCAGGAAATGAGGGACTTCCCGTCGTGTTTTGGGGAGAATGGCGTCCAGGTTGCCGATTCATCCTCTAGCCATAGCAGAACAGCTCAAAACCTTGTGACCTGCGTTTACAGGAGCCAATTGTGTGGTCGCTCCTGTGTAATCACAGTGACATGGAGCAAGAATCTCATGGGCCAAGGCCTGAGTGTAGGCATCGACGATTCAACAAACCAGGGCCTTTGCAAAGTGGACTTGAAGCCGTGGCTCTTCTCCAAAAGAAAAGGTTCCAAAACCCTAGATGCTGAAACCAACAAGATCGACATCTTTTGGGACCTCTCCTCTGCTAAATTTGGCTCAGGGCCCGAACCAATCGAGGGCTTTTATCTTGCTGTTGTTTTTGATCTCCAAATGGTGCTTTTGCTTGGTGATTTGAGCAAGGATGCATATAGAAAGACAAATGCTAGGCCCCCATCTTTCAATCCTGTCTTTGTAGCAAAGAGAGAGCACATTTTTGGGAAGAGGGTCTATTTCACCAAAGCCCAATTTTGCAACAATGGCCAAAGCCATGATGTCTCTATTGAGTGTGATACGGTTGGGGTTAAGGAGCCGAGCCTATCGATCCGGATCGATAAGAAGATGGTTTTGCAGGTGAAGCAATTGGTGTGGAAATTCAGGGGAAATCACACCATTTTGGTTGATGGGTTACCTGTTGAGGTCTATTGGGATGTTCATAATTGGCTCTTTAGCCAAACTATGGGGAGTGCAGTGTTTATGTTTAAGAGTTGTTTATCAGCTGAGAAGTTATGGTCGGGCCAACATTCGAATGACACTTCGTCAGTGTCAATGCCATGGTCTTCTTGCTCGCAAAGTTTTAGGGATAGCTACTTGGAGGGTCTCGGTTTCTCGCTGATTTTGTATGCGTGGAAGAACGAGTAGATGTCTATCTTAGAGACTCTTTTTTTTTTTTAATCTTAATTCTCTTTTTACTTTGAGTTCTAACAAATATTTTTAGGGAGTGATTTGTTTATCCTTGTGATTGATCAATACATGATCGATAGAAATGCTTATCCTCTCTCTATATTCATTTCTCTCTCACTCTCTCTGATTTCCTTTTTTATTCAGTATGTTATCTCCTGCTGATCATTAGAAGTTGGAGAACATGGCAACTTTTTTTTTGTTGTTCTTGTTTGTCAAAGGAACTTTGTAAACAATCAGAGCAGCTCTTGTGATGAACTTTCTGCAGAACTTTTTTGTTTGTTAGTTAATCCAAATTGTTGAATGGGTGATCGTCATACATTTTCTGGACCAATTTAATGCTTCACATATTAGGCCGGGATCCATTGAGATACTACTGAGCTGCTATTGCAAGCTTTTTCAATGATGATTCATTTTGGTTCATTTTCTGATAAAGGTAAATGATTCTCCATGTCTCCTTTTCTCTTTCATGTTAGGATTGATTGTGTTCATTGCATTTACCGATATCTACCTTTAATGGATTTTTGACATATTGAAACAGGTATAGTCTGTGAGTTCAAAAGCTCCTATATTATTTCTCAGCAATGCTGTTTTATGATAAAGCAGCGAGGTGCACTGGAAAATCCATGGCCAATGCCCATCAAATCTAGAAATTTGAGGGTTGTCATGATAAGTATTTTTTTCTTTTTGGATTCCAAGGAAGCTGTTTAACCTTGAATGGAATCCAATGATACCGCATTGCATTTAACGTCATCGGGTAATTTTATTTGTTTGCTTGTAGAATATTGGCGAGGCGACAGATTGTTCACAAAAGCATGAGACCTGTAATGGACCATTAGGGGGGTTTGGAACTAACCTTCTTGTGTGTGCATTGTTGCACTGCTCCATCTCGGATTTTATCTGCATTTGTCAATCTCAATGTTGCTTTATTCTTGCTATATCTTTCAGAATTTTTTAGGTACCATATATATTTTGTCGCAATTTGTTTCCTTCATGTTCTATCTTAGCATTTTATTTAACTCTTTTTCTGTAAAGATGCGGGACCCTCTAAATATTTATTACCTTTAATTTAACTTATGAGAATGCATAGGACTTATGCAAACAGTGTTTTTGTCTTTCAGAAGTTTGAACATGCAGATAATCTGAAGGAATTCTATGGTCCTAGTGACTTGTTATCATTTGCTTGAGGCCTTGGGATATTGAAGCTTATTGCTAACTCTCTAAATTTATGGTCCACTTGGTGTATTTCATATGCTAGGCCTTTGATCACATTTCTCTCTTGTAGTCCTTAAGATCATACAATATTAAAAGGTTGCTATATGCTTGCTTGCACACAAAGAAAGGCTTTCTTTATGCTTTTGAACGTTCTAACCATGCTCTTTTCTCTGTCACAATAATAATGTATACACCAACACCATCTGAGTTACTTTTTAAGCTAAGTGATTACATCATTCATAAAAAGTGTAAAGAATTGTAATTTTGAAAAACAACTGAACTATGAGGGAAGCTCACACCACTAGGCTTTTTGTCAACACTTTTGCCTCCCCATGGACTTTTGAGCTCAAATTATCCTACTAAATGGCATGATATCAAACGTCTGATTTACTTGCGGTTTCATTGAGGCAGATGATAAGCACTATTCATGACTCCTAACATTTTGTTATGTTTCTTCTTGGGCCTCCTATGGAGGGTAATGTCTTTAGATTGGGTTATAGAGGGATGAGTTACACTTCACAATCAGTTAATCTTATGATGGAGTTTTTTAGGAATGAGGATGATTTTCCCCATTTCTTATTTCCTAGTTCTTAGAGAAGCTAACAACGAGGTGGATCCCTCACTTGGGTGTTGGGACATTCCACTGGGGAATTCTTTGATCCCCATAGTTCTACTACTTTTAAAGGTTGTCTCTTTGATTAATGTATCTTTATGCAACTTGGCTCATGGAATATTTCATACAAAAAAGAAAAAGGATAAAGAAAACGAAAACTAAAACTTATGTCTTTATATGCGGTTATAGAGATTAGAGAGACACTTTACCATTGGCAATCACTTAAAGGATAGAATCTTCCTCTTTTCTTACTTCCTAGTTCTTAGAGAAGCTAACAATGAGGTGGACTCCCTTCCTTGTGTGGGAGTTGGGAGCCATCCGTTCTACTGGCATTCTTTGATCTCCATAATTTTACTACTTTTTCATGTTATGTTTCCTTGATTGTATCTTTAGATGCAACTCAACTCATGGAGTGCTAAGAAAAAATTTGGTGAATTACTTTTCCTACACATCATATATGAACACACACATGTAAATGAATGACATACCCTTAGACCAACCTGAACGTGTTAAGGGGGTCTCTTTCACCAACAAAGGATCCCAATTCAGGTTAATGTAAAAGCTGAAAATTTTGCAGAATCTGAAACTTCTATAGGGCTTTGCATACAGGGGAATATGTTGAATTCAAGTTGCTTTAATCAGGGAGTTGTGTATCAAATTTGAACTTTAGATGCACTGATAGAGAATCTATTGTATTGAGTGGAATCATGTTAAAATTGTCCTCAGTGGGGTTTGTGTAAAGGTATGGTGCAATAAGTTATTCCATTCAGGCTTGCAACTACTAGTGCAATGGACTCCTACTTTAAATAGGCTTCAGAAATGAACAAAACTTACTAAAGCAGAAAGAATCTAAGTTTTTATTTTATTCTTTTCCTTTATATCGATGAATGGAATTTGGAAATGAATCTTTTTCATGTGGCTTTTGTCAAAAGTTTTGAGCACAAGAATGAGGAAGGAGGATAATAAATCACATGACAGTTGGTACACATGTTTAGCTTGGATGCAATGGAAAATGAAAATATCAAAGCAAAGTGGGTTCTATAGTTTGGAGCAAGAAGTCAAGGAGAGTGTCTTATGTTTATAAAGGCAGGGCATTCTGAATGGGGCAACAAAAAATAAGGTCTAGAATTGAAGAAATTTGAAGTTCTGCAGAAACATGAAAAGCATCAAAAGAAGCTTTGTATATTAAAGTGACCCATTCATTGTTCTTATCAAATGTAGAGGAGCCTTACAGATGGTGGGGGACGATGTTTCTGTGCTAATATGGGAAGATTTTATGAATAAAGTTCAAGTCAATACATTACTATTGCCCCTACAATGAGAGGTTGAGAAGGAACTAGGAAAAACTAAAATAACGGGAAAGAAACTTTGTCGGTCACAAACACATCTGTGAACGTCCAACAAGTCACAGGAGATGTCTCCATCCATTTGGTTTCACACTGTTCATGATTAAGAGGTGGCATGGCTTATGGATTAAAAAAATAGGTTCTCAGTGGTCCCAATGAGGAGACATGTTTATATCACATGTTTGATTATCATATTTGTTGTTTTCCTCGCTTATTTGCATGAGAATTTTTTAGCTATCAGCTAACATTACATGCTTTCTTTTATTATTAAGGTTGCAGTCTTTCAGATCAAGTCATATAACAAGTGCACAATGATGATTCTCTTACAGATTTAGAATTAAGTAAGGACAACTACTAGAGAAGAATTAATAATTGCATTCAGCAAGTCAGCTTCTTACGCATTCATGAATTCTAAGGTGATTGCAACTGTTTACTCTTATCAGAGGACACATGAAGCCATATTTGTTTTGGCCACTGGTTTTGCATACCTTGATAATATGGTGGAGCACAAAATTATGGATTTATGGCATTGTTGTCTTCCTCTTATCTATTGTTAGATGTGAAAGCTAGTGTAAGATGAACTGTGAGTGCCTACTCTCAGTGGTGTGTTTTTGTCACGCCTATTAAATTTTACAACTTTACAACATTAATACAACTTAGTTAATTAAAAGGATAAGAGTTCTGGACTATCAGAGGGACACAGTTAAGAGAAGCTGTTGGGTACTGGGTTGTTAGTACAACAAGGCATGCATGTAAAAGTAGAATATATTGGAGGGGCACATAAACTCGTGGAAGTATGTCAAATAAACAAATAAAAAGATTTTTCTCTTACACAAACAGCTAGGGAACTTTATGAATGAGAACTTCAAGATGACATATATCATAAAATGTCTACATCTCAACTTTCCATTTATTCTTGAAAGGAACCCTACCTCCTTTATACAAAGAGGGATCTATATCAAATGTGGGACAAAACATATAGTTGAAACCATAGTTGTCAGGTGCAGGTGTGTTCTCGAGAGCGGGAGCTAGCTTGGATCCGCAGAACCGTGGATTGCTGGAAGCTCCTTGTGGTTAGGATCATCATCCGTACGATCCTATATCAAGCGAGCGTAATCCGTATCATAGGGGAGCGATTCCATGAGGAAGGAATCACAATAGTACGTTTTAAGGGATCACGAATGATGCATGGGTTCATAGTACCATTGGGTACAAACCTAAAAAGTGTTCCAAATAACGGCGGGTGGCGCCTAAGGCGGCTAGGGGTCCTGGTCGCCCAACCCCTTCTGGGGCAGTCTAGAATCTAGGTTGAAGAAGAGGGGCAGGGGTAGGGGAATATGAGTATTCATCATAAAATATTACAAATCCCCCAATCCAAAAAGTTTCAAACCATTGTATATTCGTAATAGACTAACGCAAACAAAAATAAAATATAATAATAATCAATAAATTAGTAATACAGGCATAATCCATAATCCATACTCCATAATCCATACTCCATAGTCCATACTCCATAGTTCATATCATTCCATAATCCCTATTTTTATACAATGGTACAACCACACAGGCATAAACGAGTAGATAACAGAAACTAGAAAATAAAAAAAAGAAAATGTACAGTCTAAGACTCAACACCAAGAGTCAAGTGTCTTCAGTTATCATCAGAAAAAGTAGGGTAAGCCTCATAATATGCATTGGATTCGAGGCCTTCATCATTAGAGTCATCTACCTCTTCAACATAACACTCGTCCTCCTCTGTTTCTTATGAATTAGTCTCTTCCTCTTCTTACCCCTCTCTTACTTTGTGTAGATGAGGCCCTAAAAGTCTTGGCTGCTCTACCTGGTGCTTCTTTACCCTTTTCTTTCCTTTTGTGTTTCACTGAACTCAAATATTGCTTAATCTTCTCCTTAGTAGCCTCAGGAACATTTTATATGGGGCAACATTTCTATTAATATTGGGAAGGTGTTTCTTGAACTGGTAAATACCCTCATTAGTATCATTTCCACAATAATTATACCTTATACAACTTTTGCTATTCAAATTCGGCTTATGACCATACTTGCAACCTGGATCACCACTTCTAGAAGAACTTGGAGAAGATATTTCTATATAATAAGGCTCCTTTTCTTCCTTTTATGGTTTTA